CACAGACGTTTGAACTTCCGTTAAAGGCAATTTTGTATATCTAGTTGTCTTGGCCAGTTAACAATTTAGACTTTTTACCTTTTTTAATGGTTTTGTTATATTTTTGTTATATATTTCAGTAGAACCTTTGCTTTATTTTAGTCAATGTTCTGGTGATTCCGGTATAACCTCCTTCTGTTGGATCATCATAATATTGGTGAAGAATAGCTTCAATTGCCGACTTTCATTTATTTTGGTCATCTGTGGTAATAGCGCTATTTTAACATTTTCTAATTTTTTGTTGCCCATTTTTTTAAAAGAATTTAGCGACACAGATTTAAAAATACTTTCGCTGGGTGACATCTGTAATTGTTTAACCTTTAATGCAGCGGCTTGTTGATCAGGCCTTTGGAATAACAGATCTAGATCTAAATTTCCATTAGTGATTAAATCGTCAACATATATGTTTTTTAAAATTTTTTTCCCATGCTTCAAGAGACAATTGCGGGATGATAATTTTAATTTTACACATTTTTTAACGTCGTTACTACTAACGACTTCATAAACTTGCTGCTGTAAAATCGTATTTTTCTAAATCAAGTCGCATTCTTATTAGTTATGTTTCTTGATTGTTCATCAATTTCAAATTAGTAAAAACCAGACATTAAATCAATACATGAGAAGTATTTAGCATGTCCCAGTTGATCGAAAATATCTTCGATTCTTGGAAGTGGAAATTTGTCAGCAATTAATTTTTTATTATCCTGGCGATAAAGCACCACTAAACGCCATATTTTATCATTTGAATTTGGGAAAGATTTTTTTGGAACTAAAAGTAAGGCCTGTTTTAAAGTGAAATGGATGTCTCATGTATATCATCATCAATTAATTTCTTCACCTGTTTATTTATTTCTTCTTTATGGGAATGGGGTATACGAAAATTTTTTATGTATACTCGTTTTTTATCTTCCATTAACAATTTTTAATGTTTTCATTTATTAATATTATATTTATATTACATTATTGTAAACACTTTTTTACAAAAAAAAAGTTTTTTTAAACTAAACTCAAAATCATTACAACGTTTTAAAGTGAATATTTAGTGGGAAATAGAAATTAAAGTATAGGGTGATAATTGTAAATAGTATGAGACTGTTTATCAATGAAATGTTAGCACCGATATCTAATAAAAGAGTTAGTGATTTATTTGCATCATTGTTGTATATTTTTACTAGAAGATATATATTATAGATCGTAAATGGTGATTATGGTTAACAATTAATGAGTTTGTGGCGCTGGAAAGTTTTTCGAATTTGGTTGATCAATCACGCGTATGTTATTACGCCTTTGCCTACGTGAGGTATTAATTGTATTGCCTTTACGGGGTATCCAAAGTTTTGATATACATTACCATAGGCTTGAATATTTCGACTATAATTTCTGTTTCATTGATTACTGTTGTTGCCACGGCCTCTTGGACGGTTGTAGTTTCTACTATAGTTACTTCTCTTTAGCCGCGTATGGTATAAAATTGCTTCCGGTCTTCCATGCATTTCTATATAACAATTGACGTATTTAGATATGGGATCATTCAGTGAGTTGAATGTGCCAGCTCCCATTAGGGTTTTCAACAGTTTTTCGTCATCGAAGATATGGCTTCTTTCCGACTAAACGTTTTTTCATTTTCCGTAAATATGCCGTTATCTATGAATGCGCCCTCAAGGGCTTGACCTAGGTTATTAATTTCGGCCGTATATGGACTGACAGTTTTGCCTGGTTGTTGAATGTTCATCAACTTGGCCTTTATAACGTCGATAGATTCGTCTTTGACAGATAGGGATAGTTTTGTTATAATCATCTGTATGGTTTCCTCATCCTTCACTCTGTATAGTATGGGTCCCGTTATTTTTGATTTGATAACTTCAACAGCTAAGTCTTCCTGTGCACTTTTGGTGCGGTCTATCAAGCAATGCTCTTAAAACTCTTTCTAAGTTTTGCTTTTTGCCATCAAATTCTGGGACTGCTATGGCAGATCAACACTATGTACAATAAAACCAAATGTGTAAGTAAATAGCTTGGATTTAATTATTGTGGATTTGTTTTTACTCGAATTAAATATAAAATAAAAAATCCAGATTTGTGCATACAAAAACACTTATATGTTTATTAAAATCAGGGTTTGAATTGCTGTTGCTAATTGCATTGCTTGCATAATTGCTAACGCATTGCATATGAAAATGAAATAAGAATATGCATTAGCAACAGCAAAAAACGTAAACTGGTTTCATTTTGATTGCTTGCTAATAGTCAATTTAACATTTTTGACTATTATGCGTTTGGAATATATGCAACTTGCTTGCTTATGCGTTAGCTGCTTGTGTTTTGCTATTAGCAAATGTGTATGTATTTTTTCTTTTTGTTTTTGTTTTAAGGGAATATGTACGCATTATTTCTTTGTTGGTGCATTGAATATAGTTGTGCAAAATTGTAAGTAATGTGTGTGCGTACAATTTGTATGCAATTAATATAATTTTATCTGTAAATAGATTATGCCTAAATTTATGTTTTTTGTAATTATTAAATTTATGCTATATATGATATATATATATACACATAGTAGAAAAAGTCTACGGATATTTACAAAATTTTTCTAAAATTACGCATAACTTTTTTAATTTTTACTCAAATTCATTTTTATTTCCTGATTTATTTTAACCAAAGAAACAACAATAAAGTTGCAATATTAAAACTAAACAGTTATTCTTTAAAAAAAAATTAAACACAATTATATGCGAAAGTAGCAATTTTTGAAGCAGAAAAAGTCTACGGATATTTCTTAATATTTACATTAAAACAATAAAATTCACAAAAATCTTAAATTTAATAGCCTGTGGGATAACCCCTGCATTTAATAACCTCTGTTAAGCGTCTTTCCATTGACTCAACTAGCTTTGCAGTATCCTGTGCGTTTATTTCTAGCCATTCTTCTTTGATGACGTTTCTTGCTATATCCTTGCTGGAAAACATATGCTGGCGAATCTTATTTTCCAAATAAACCCACAGATGTTCTATAGGACTAAGGTTTGGTGATTCTGGTAGTGTTTGAAGTTGCCTGAGAGCATAGTACAGCATCCAAATCCGTACTATGACTGCTGTATGCTTAGAGTCATTGCCCTGCTGAAACAAAAAGGTTGCCTCAAGTCCTAACATTCTGACATTTTCTTTCAAATTTGTTTTTAGAATATTTAGAAAACCATATTTCTCCATTGTATCTTGTACAAATTCAAGTCTAACCGCACCATTACTTGCTATACACCCCTAAATCATTACGCCGTCACCAACACGTTTTACTGTTTACGGTTTATCACAGGTTGTGCATAATTTTCTCCATACAAGTTTTCTAACTTTGATTCCAAATATTTAAAATTGACTCTCATCGGAGAAAATAACTCATATTCAGAACTTTATAGGTTTATTTATACGCTTTCTTGCACGGCTTAATCATTTTATTCTATTATATCTGGATATGTATGGCTTCTTTCCTGCAATCAGGGTATAATACATGCATTTCTTCAAAATTTTCCGCACAGTATCAGGATATATTTTGTTTTCAAGTATTTCGGCAATATGTTCAGCTAGTTTGAAGGCTGTTACTCTTGGATTTACTTTCACCTGGTTGATTATGCTACGTCTTTCTCTATTTGACAAAATTGTGGGGCGGCGAGTGCGAGGTTTAGAAACGTAAGTACTGGTCTCTTTGAAGTTATTTGTAATTCTCTGCACAGATGAATATTGACGACCAATATCTTCAGCAATTTTTCTTTGGCTTACGTCATCTTTCTAAAATTTAACAGTTATTTGTCGCTCACTAAAACTAATTTCACGTCTTTTATTTTATATTGTAAAAATTTATTGCTTATATAAAAAAATATTATTAAATGATTAATTTTTAGACTCTTTAGAAAGTCAACTAATAATTAAATATCATTTAATGACACTTTTATGCTTGCAAGCGAATTTAAATTAGCGGTAAATGTAAATATTAAGAAATATCCGTAGACTTTTTCTGCTTCAAAAATTGCTACTTTCGCATATAATTGTGTTTAATTTTTTTTTAAAGAATAACTGTTTAGTTTTAATATTGCAACTTTATTGTTGTTTCTTTGGTTAAAATAAATCAGGAAATAAAAATGAATTTGAGTAAAAATTAAAAAAGTTATGCGTAATTTTAGAAAAATTTTGTGAATATCCGTAGACTTTTTCTACTATGTGTATATATATATTACATTGTGACCGAAAAGTTTCCGGTCATAATTAAATAAAACGCAAAATTCTTAATCTTCATCAAATATTTATTTTATCTCCTTCAAAATATGCTCCATTAGAAGCGATACACAAATGCCAACGTTTCTTCCAATCATCAAAACATTTTTTATAGGCGCTTTCCGGTATGGCTTTGAGTTCCCTCTGCGAATTCTGTTTTACGTCTTCTATGGATTCAAAACGCGTTCCTCTGAGTGGTAATTTGAGGTTGGGAAACAGGAAAAAGTCACACGGTGCAAGATCAGGTGAATACGGTGGCTGTTCGATGGTATTTATTGAATGTTTGGCCTTAAAATCGTTGATAATGTTGAACAAATTGAGGTGAATCGGAACAAGCCGGGCGTTGACACGTCGCATACACAAATTGTCCACCAAAATCAAACGAGCCATCTCACGACCGATGCCTAGCTCTCGTGCTATCTCTCTAACACTCACATGAGGATTTTTGAACACGATTTCCTTTGCCTTTTCAATGTTTTCGTCGGTGGTAGAGGTCGAAGGTCGTCCAGAACGCGGCATGTCTTCGACGGTCGTACGACAGTCCTGAAAGGCTTTGTACCACTCATAAACTTGAGTTTTCGATAAAACTGATTCCCCATAAGCCTTTTGTAGCATTCGCAACGATTCTGCACACGAAATTTCGTTCGAAAAACAAAATTTGATGCAAACTCTTTGTTCAATATTTTTTTCCATTGTTTTTTTCGCAACGCACTACTGAGGTGAACTGGTTTCAACAGCTGCCGTAAACGAACTGTCTGACAGATCGCGCTCATTTTTGGCATAGTAATTAAGGACTAGTGCTGCCAAACTACATAAACTTAAAAATATCGAAAAATATACAGCGCGCGAATTTTAAATGAGAACCTCCGAAAACCTTTCGGTCACAATGTATATCATATATAGCATAAATTTAATAATTAAAAAAAACATATATTTAGGCATAATCTATTTACAGATAAAATTATATTAATTGCATACAAATTGTACGCACACACATTACTTACAATTTTGCACAACTATATTCAATGCACCAACAAAAGAAATAATGCGAACATATTCCCTTAAAACAAAAACAAAAAGAAGAAATCCATACACATTTGCTAATAGCAAAACACAAGCAGCTAACGCATAAGCAAGCAAGTTGCATATATTCCAAATGCATAATAGTCAAAAATGTAAAATTGACTATTAGCAAGCAATCAAAATGAAACCAGTTTACGTTTTTTGCTGTTGCTAATGCATATTCTTATTTCATTTTCATATGCAATGCGTTAGCAATTAGTCGTTTGACAAAAATCGACTGGTCAATAGTTATGCATTAGTCAAAATATGGTTGCTTTTGCTAATTTTCAGCAAGCAATTCAAACCCTGATTAAAATGACGACAATATTAATATACAATACCAAAAAATGAAGCATGCTTTCGTATTCGATAATTGATTTTTATGCAGGCCTTGAAGAATGCGTATATCATTGCTACAAAACTTACGCAGATACATTCCAGCTGATTTTAATGCTGCGATAACCTCATCACGAACTTTCACTGTCACATCCAATGAATCGTTGCTATAAAGTATATCATCAACGTAAATATTCGATTTTAACACTGATTCTGCTAACGGAAATCGTGACTTCTCGTCTTCGGCGATTTGCTGAATTATTCGGATAGCAGTTTACGGCGCAGAGGCAGTACCAAACGTTACGGTATTCAGACAATACTCCTGAATCAGGCCGTCATTATTTCGCCACAGAATTCGTTGAAATTGTGCGTCATCAGGATGCATGCTGATGCATCTATACATTTTTTCAATGTCTGCTACAAAGACATATTGATGTAGTCTCCAATTTATCAAAACTACCGCCAAATCGTTCTGTAACTTAGGACCCACGCATAGAATGTTGTTTAATGATTTGCCGTTTAATGTTTTATATAATGCATCAAAAACAATCTCAATTTTGTTGTGAGGCTTTCTTCTTTCAAAACTGCATGATGAGGTAATACATAAGAGTTATTTATTGGTACGTGATTTTGATTAAATTTGCACCGTTGTTGTTCAGTAGAGTCTGCACGGGTAGCGTGTCCCAAGCTGAAATATTCGTTAATCACCTGATGGCACTGTTTTTGCAAATCACTATTGCGTGCGAGCTTACGCTCCAAATTTAAAAGACGGTTTAATGCAATCTGCCTATATCGACCGAGAGTTTGTGTCGGATCAAAGTGTGACTTCAGTGGTAAACGTACCATATAGTAACCATTTTGTAATCGAGAATGAGTTTTAATGAAGAAATTTTCGCACCACTGTTCTTCAGAAGAGAGTTCACGATCGGGAGTTACCTGATCCTGCTCAAAATAGTGTTTTACTAACATATCCAATTCATATGAGGTATGATGGCACCGTATCGTTTGCAACTTTGGCACAACTGGCCCAATATTTCCAGAAATAATCCACCCTGAATGAGTTTGCTGCGCTATTGGTTGGTTGGACGCCCCAATTCGTAGTCCTGTTAGTATCAACTGTGCATATACATCAGCACCAAGAATTAAATCATTTTTTCCTGGTTTAAAATTAGTTGGATCAGCTAAACGTAACCCGTTTAAATGTGGCAAATTCTGGATACAAATAGAGTGACCTGGAATAATACTTGTTAGCGATTTTAAAACATATGCGCGCTTAATAACTAATTGGAAATCCGAATGTAACATCGAGTTTACAACAAACGTAACGACAGACTTGGAGCCTTCTGTTGGGCTTTGCCCTACACCAACTATTTCAGTGCGGGTGGGATAACGTTTAAGTCCTAAACCTTGTGTGTCGTGTTCTGATTCGGAACCCTGGTCGACCAAAGCACGAAGAATGACAGCTTGATCAGTAAATTCGTTCTTAACCGACACTAGAGCGGCAGCCAAGAGGACTCGATGTTGTTCACCTTCGGTGTAGTTGGCCGTAGTCAAAGGATAATCCGGCGACAATATTGTGCTGCTTTGCAAAAACAGTGTACCATTGAACGTTGGTGGTGATGAGACGTTATGATGTTGTCTGTCAACCTTGTTGGACGGACGTGTTGTACGAAGCGATGTCACCATTGCTATTTGGTTTTGCAGAGTTTTCTAATGGAGGAATATGCAGGAGTGTATGAATGCTGCCCACATTGTTGACAGTTTTTAGTACTAGGACATTGTGAAACTGTATGGGGTCTGCATAAACAATTTAAACAGAGCTTCCTTCGAGACGCGATGGACTTCCGTTCGAAGCAATCCTTAGTGAGGAATTGATGACATTGACGAATTACATGATTATTTTGACATAATGGACATAGCGACGTGTTGAGAGCCGAATGGTGTGATTTTTTGTATTGGCGTTTGGACTGTAAGGAGTTTCGAACTGGTAGTATATTTGCGCTAGGCGTGATATCGATAGATGATTCGCGACTATCAAGAACATCCAGCGTTATTGCTCTATCATTCAGGAAAGTTTCCAATGTGCCAAAAGTGGGAATGACGGAGTTGCTTCCAAGATGGAGTTCCCATGCCTTTCGCGTTTCTGAGCACAGTTTCGTTGAAATGTAATAGGCTAACCAATGATCACTGCTGGTGATTGGAATCTTCAATCTGGCAAATTCGTGTACGCATACCTTAGCTGTATTTAGGAGTACTTTTATATCAGTCGCTCGTTCCAATAATAGGCTAGGAATGCTGAACAAATCTTTCATAATATGCATAAATAAAATTCGGGGATTATTGTATCGATTCACCACTAATTCCCATGCAATGGGATAATTAGCTTCTGTCAACTGCATGTTGTGAATATCTAAATCATTGTCTTCTGGGAGCGCCTTTTTTAGAAAGTGGAACTTCTGAATTAAACTTATCTCTTTGTTGGTGTGAATATGTGTAAGTAAATAGTTTGGATTTACTTATTGTGGATTTGTTTTTACTCGAATTAAATAAAAAATAAAAAATCCAGATTTGTGCATACGAAAACACTTATATGTTTATTAAAATGACGACTATATTAATATACAATACCAAAAAATGAAGCACACAAAACAAAACACGCTCGACTCTTCATTCTTCAACAGCATGAACGAACTGGCAACGAAACACGACACAGCAATAACCCAAAATTGAACCTTTTTTGTGTTTCGTGTTATTGCGGTTACCACCTTTCTTGTCTACCAAAGGTTGCAATCCATCACATACACACCTTTACCTATATTTATTTTTCAAAACTACCAACAGCTAATGGAGGAATATAATAATATTTAATCTAGAGAACAAAACATTTACTATATTAATTATTATTTAAAATGGTAATGAATAACAATATACAGTCACATTAATAATAAAAGACTCTTCAATACCTAAAATTATCTAATATTCCATAACCATAATATAAAACCTATAGATATTATAATGTCCTAATTTCAAAACTATCAATACTTTACCAAAATTAATACTCTACTGAATTCATATATTAAAAACTAAATTAATACTAAAAAATTAATATGTTAAATTATAAATGTAGCTACCCACACCACAAGTGTCACAACACCATTACAGCAAAATCAATTTTTTATTAACTTCTTAATATCTTCTTATTATTTGTTTTAGTTATTATTAAAACAAGTATTTGTTATTATCAATATATATTTATTATTTTATTTAAGTCATAATCAAACGTTGTTGCTCAAGCAACAGCTCAAATACTTCTGCACTCTAAGAGCGGCGCAGCATACACAAGCAGCTCAAAGTGCTTTGTCTCATAATTGCAAGATCAGCAATTAATGCTGTTGCGAATATGGTGTGACTTAGGAATAAGTGAATAATACTTTTCTCAAGTAGACCACACATCAAATGAGTAACGGATGTTATTGTTTATATTATTATGTATGTATGCTACAAAGCTTCAGAGGATTTATTATTAATTAATGGAATAAATGCTTATAGATTAAATTTTTTCTAATCTTAATCATGCTATTAGTCATGTATTTGAAGATATCGTACTTATTGTTCCTATAATTATAATGAGAAAAAAACAAAATGATGAATTATGATTTGATAATTATGATGAATTAATAAAAATTTAAAAGAAAACGCGGGTACAACCTTTATAAACCTTTATAAATTCAATTTATATTTTAAATATATTTTAGTGTACGAAGCAAAAAAGATTTTGATCCTTTTAGGAATAATTTAATTCTATTAAATATAATTATAAAAAAAACAACCCTTTAATCAGGCAATTCAATGAAAAAAATTCATTGAAATTTCGCCCCCATTTCATTTAGTAGATTATAGCCCTTGACCTTTAACAGGAGCTATTGGTGCAATAATAATTGTTGCAGATATATTGAAATAATTCATCAATATAATATATCCTTATTTATTTTAGGTAATATTATTTTTATGATGACTGTTTATCAATGATGAAGGGAGCTATGCTGAGAAGAAACTTACCAAGGTTTACTTACTTTTATAATGACAACTGCATTCCGATTAGGAATAATCTTATTTATTTCAAATTAAGTTTCATTTTTTGTTTTTTTTTTGAGCATTTTTCATAGAAGTCTATACCCGACTATTGAATTAGGGGCATCATGAGGACCTATAGGAATTATTCCGTTTAATCCCTTCCAAATTCCTTTATTAATTACTGATATTTTATTAGCTTCAGGAATTACTATTACATGAGTTCATCATAGTTTAAATAAAAATAATCATTCACAAACATTTCAAGGACTACTTTTTTCCATTTTATTAAGATTTTATTTTAAAATTTTACAAGCTTATGAATATATTGAAGCACCTTTTATAATTGCTGATTCTGTTTATGGATCAACATTTTTTATAACGACAGGATTCCATGAAATTCATGTTTTAATTGAAACAACTATATTATAATGATAATATTGTAATAATAATAATATAAAAAGTATGTATGACTTCCAATCATCAAGTCTATGAAACATATTTTACATAATTTTATTATTAATAACTATGGCACTAATAATTTTATTAATACTTAATAGTTAATACTTAAAACAAAAACTTAATGATCGACAAAAAAATTCTCCATTTGAGAATGTGGACTTGATCCAAAATCATCATCACGGATCCCTATCTCACTTCATTTTTTTCTACACGTAAAACTCTATTGATCTCTACAAGAAGGGAATTTTTACGTTAAAATTCCAACCAACATATATGGAAAAAACACACTAGTCCGTACCGGCACTGCAACATCGACGAACACTGCGAAAATTTAAAATTGATTAAAAATTGTAACACTAATAATAAATTAATACCTTGGATTAATGCCTTGGAAAATAATAGGGATTTTCCTCCTATTATTTTTACAAATATATTTTATTGTGATAATTTGATACGGATAATTAGATACTTAAAAATGTTACAATGTTTTGTTATTTTCCATTTCCTGTTTAATACAATAGATAATATAAAATGTTTAATGTAGTATAGAATATTTTTACAATATAATATTCTATTGAAATACAATGTGTTTCTGAAGATTGTTTGTTTAGGAACAAACGATCTTCTGAGTTATCTTTATAACTCATTTTCGTTATGATAATGAGTCTTGATAATATAAAATAAAACATATGAGGTATGGGGATGTAACTCGTGCGAATGGGAGTGCTGTTGACTGCATATAAATTCACCGATGAAGCGCTGCCTGTTTTGAACGAATGACGCAAAAATGACCGTGGAATCACTGAGATGTCGGCACCCGTATCTATTAGAAATATGATGGACGTTACTGGATCCTTGATGCTGAATCGACCTAATTGTATGCTACCTTCGTTGCGGGTCGACGACGGCGCAGGAGCGCTTAGTTTTTTGTTTGCGATGATGCCGAAAAATTACAAAATTGTCTGCAACTGCTTGCCTTGCGTCCAAACTTGGAGTGGAACCAGCACCAATCTGGATGACGGCTTGATTGGGAATGTGGTCGGCTGCGGCCTCTCAGTAAACGGCTCCCTTGCTCTTGACGGGAGTTCATGTCTAAACGACTCAACCGTTGCTCGATTTGGTCTAAGCGCTGACATACTTTATCTGCTTCGGACCAGGTACCACCGCTGCCTGAAGACATTGCCAAGATCTGGTGATAATCGCCTGCTTCGCAAATCTTGTCAGCCAATTTGGCTAACTCGATTAGTTCAACGCTTGATGTTTGAAGAATCGCGCGCACTTGTTGAGGCAAACGCTGGTGCCAGAGTATTTTCAAAAATTCGTCTGATAATAGCCGCTGAATTTTTCGCTGCTCCGATTCTCTATTCCGCTCGATTATTTAGTTTTTTCAAGTTTTCGTACCGGTTCGTTGCTGGTGGATGTAGTACTGCATCTGCTACGTCAGCCACAATGCTGGACTCTATTGCAGCTACTATGGTGTTGAATTTCGTCGTTTCGTTGCATACACGTGCTACCGCAAACTGCGCCTCAATCTGAACGAACCATATTTCGGGTCGCTCGTGCCAGAACGGAGGTACCTTCACCGAGACGCGATTTACAACTGGTGCTGAGTCTTCGCGCTGTTGTCCGGGCGATGCTGCACTTTCGCTTTGCACCGACATTTTGTCCCTTGTTTTCGCACACACGCTAAGCCGGAACTCTGCTCGTAGAGTTCTGAAATGAACTTTTGTACGTTGATGAAATATACTCTTATTTAGTTCAACAGTTCTGAAAAGAACTTTTGTACGTTGATGAAATATATTCTTATTTAGTTCAATAGTTCTAAAAATAACTGATCATGTCGGGGTCACCACTTTGGTATATCTCTTAAGTACGTTTTAATTTACAATGTTGACTAATAATTTTACCACCACACTACTAGTCCCAACGACTAGCTTGTACAACCAAGACTGAACGAATGAATGTACACGAGTGCTAGTGCTCTTTATATGTCTTATTTGCATGCCAGTGTTTCTCGCCGTTCACATGTTCTAACATGAGTTTTCGGCTGGTGCTGCCACAATATTTATATGTATTTTAGTAAAATAGCTTAAATAATTAAACAATTAATACTTATTTGTTATTGCATAAATATTTACTTAGTTAGATTCTCA